TATATATATATGTTAGGTAGAGAAGTAAAAAGTCGGCAGCGTCGCTATACATAAATTTAGAAGCTTAGAATAGAATCACGAAATTGCCACAACAATTTACGAAGCGATGTAAAAGAAATATGAATTTGTTCTCTATAAAGCCGAATTTCTCGATCACCTCTCGCTACAAATGTCAGTGACCTGCAGTAATAAAAAATCCCATGGTAGAGTGCTAGAAGTTTCCGCTAGAATTCTTAAGAAAATCTAAAGATCGACATGAACTATTGGAATCCTCGAATGATTAGCAGACATGACATTGGTAAATAACGAAGCACTTAGCCTTGATCAGCTCATGGTACACCATGCATTGTACACAATTCCTTAAAACTTAGAGATAAATGAATGCGTGCTTCGCTTACTGACTTTTCGAGATGTGCCACTTTAGTGTTTTTATGCATCCAAGCAGGTCTAATAGAATTCTTCAACCACGGAGGGTGTCGGGTATCGTTAGTAAAAGGGCCGAGATCGAATCAGGGACCGTGAATGTATAGCTTCACAAAGCCCCATCCCCTATGATGCCATACATTTCGTTGATTCATAACTATACGTTCAAAATCCTTGTTGACGTTCCGTCGTATATCGCATGTCACTAGTGCTAGTCGAACAAAAGCCACCATACGACGATCCTATACTAGGTAAATACTACGACGAACACGAATGGTTCACACATTAGCCGTCCGATGAATGGTTTGCAAGCTTTCGCTCAGTAATAGTACCAACACCCCCGTCTTCGGGGTCGGTGTTGTCGCCATCACCTCCATCATCATACAGAACTCTTACAAACCTCATCTGTAAGCAGATTCTAACTAAATGAACGAACACCTGCTCTATTGTCCGGTGCTAAACATCGAACAACACAAAATTACACCATATCACTTTTTTGTGTGAACGCTGGAGGCGATCGATATGGATCAAAATTGAACGATTTTTCAAGACTACGAGTGGACAAAATAAGGACTAAAATTGTACTATGTTGACTTTTTATTCACTGCCTCTAACTAGCTTTCAGGGCAGAGTATTATTTGTGAAACAACCACAATGATGCTGACATATTGGCAAAACTCCGGACCACAGGTGTCTGCGGTGGGGAACGAACGCGCTATTGTCCTTTCCAGGGAGTAACGCGTTGACCACCACACCATGCGGCTCCTTCGTTTCGTCTGTCTCTCAGCTAGTTCTATCGATCTCTGCCATCAGCAATCACCCAATTAAAATCGTACTGCTTGATTAGACAGATATTTCTGACCCAAAAATGGAGAGAAGGTTTGAGGGAAAGTTTAAAGAAATCGTGAAACATAATGTCTTCAAATGGTCTTTGTGAAGATGTATTTAAGCCCGCAATACTATGGAAATTTATACCACACGCTCGTCAACTTTAGGACAATCAAATCAAACGATGAAATCTTAAAAGGATAAAGAATAAAGCTCTTGGCGTTGATCAATCCATGAAGAATGCCCCATGCATTCGACTTCACTAAGCATAATTGGAAGTGATTGAATGCATATCTGGCTTTTACAATGACTCTCGGTGGACTACCGATGCATCGAACCAGTGCTGCTATCCTCCCAGACAAGTCTGGTGCCAATTCACCGACCCCGGAGGGATAGAACGCTTAATGAGTCACGACGCTTGGGTCGATCCCATGTGTATCGCGGGGCGCCTTCGACCACTGCGCCACGCGCGTCGCATAATGGAATCTTATAAACGTAAAAAGAACAAAAAGCCGTAAAATAATAGAAAGCAAAATTTTAAAATAGGAAATATAAGAAAAACTGGACAAAAGATTTCCTCGCGAAAGCCACTGTGACAGTTATTTGGCCGAAATCCATGTTCATTTGCGTAAAAATAATATGAACATTAAAAGTGAAGAAATACATTGTCGTTTTCAAAAAAGTCGACGGAGACTTTAGAAGAGTATCGCAGCTGAGTATTTGCTCAGTAATTTTTTTTCTTTTTTTCTTTTTTTCTAAAAGAGTTTCTTTTTCCTTAACGTAGAAGTTATCGGTCAATAGGAGCTCAGGACAGAAACATTTTCAGGGAAGAAAAGTCAACTAACGGTGGATAGAACCACCGTAAACTTCGATTCACAACTATTATTCGTCTATTTCAGAGCACAGTATACGGTATTGAAGATGTTCAGAATCTTAGACATACCGTACTAATCGAACGACACCGTGGAACGCCTGATCGACATTCATTCGTAATTTTGCCGAACACTCTACATAGGGAACGTTAAGTGATCGTGCCAATTCTTCAGCTTCTGATCTGCTCACCTGAAATTGGTTACATTGCCAATTTATTACGATTTCATCAATTCTAAGCAAAGAAAAGAGCAGGAAAACATCTTTGTCCTTTCTCTGCTTTCCTCTTTCGTTTTTTAAACGCGTGAAAGGCAAAGAAAATTAAGAAATACTATAAAGAATAGGTTCCTTCAAATACAGATAGATTGACAAGAATAAAGCGATAGATAGAATAACAGAAAAGTAGAGAAGAAAAAAGACAAGGAAAAGGAAAAAGTTCTAAATTGAGCGAGAACAAAATTGATAACCGTTATGTGAATAGCATAGTCATTGATTGATTGTACATGTTCGAACTCTTTCCACTGTATTCAGCCAGAATATATGACTCACCGTTTAAAAATAAATACTATATGGTAATAAATATATATAAAGCAACGTTCATCGGTTCAGATAGTATTAATAAATTGTAAAGTGAAAAAGTCAATTAGGCCATTGTATAGAAATTTCCAAAAGGGCATAGCTGAAAAATAAGTTTGTGACTGGGAAAACCCTAGTGACAAACTAACGAACGGATTTGGAGAAGTGCTGACGTCTTGAGCTGTGAGATGGAACACAGAACACTCATTCACAGATGTACACATATACACATACAGTATATAGACAAATACAAATACCGCAAGCATAAAGGATGAAGCATCCGGCATTAACCAATTTCTTAAGAATGCGCCATGCATTCGACACTATTCGTAGAGGTGGTTGGATGCATATACACCCTACACAATAACTTGTGGTATCCCACGGATGTATCAAGTCAGTGCAGCTTTCCTCCAGAGAAGTTTGGCATCAATTTTCCTAACCCTGAGGAAGCGTGAAGGGATTCGTTAGCCCAAAGATGGGCTGGAACCAGCGACCACGTGTGTACTATGTGGTACCTCCAACTGCTGCATTGCACCACCTATGTTCATTCTACATTGTTCTTAATGTTCTGCACTTCAATAAACGATCGAAAAATGACGTTGATTTAGCCATTGGTAATGAATGGATGCCGTTTCGAACGGAATCATATGGTATTGAGAGCAAATTAATAGTCAGTCAGATCGCCAAACACAGTGGGAGTTCCGTTTTTTGATTAATTTCCCATTCTGGCAGATTATTCGCAACGCAAATCGAGACAACAGTATGAAAATATTCAAATTAGCACTTCAACTAGAGCTGCTCAAACGATTTCTGAGTGGTTACACTCTTTTTGGTGTTTTTTTACAGTTCTAATAGGGAAATGAAAGATGACCAAACCCTTAGCTATGCGCTTGCATTACGGTCCATTCCTAGGTGGTCGTTGAGATCATCGACAACCTTCATATAAAGAGTAAAAGATAAAGCTCCTGCAGCTGGGATGCGCCATGTATTCAACTTCATCGAGCACATTTAGAGATGACTGAATGCATATCTGTCTTATACAACCACTTTTTGGGACCCACCCATTCACCAAATCCATATTTTTCCGCACAAGCTAGTCTAGTACCAATTTCCCTATCACAGTGAAATTGAAAGCTTAGTTTACTTAGAACCCGAACCAACGACCATGTATGTATACCAGGACGCGTCTAACTACTGCGCTTTCCTATTCTGAGTATATTCGACCACAAATGGAAAATATTTTTCTTTTCATGTGAAACAACATCCCATACTTTTCTATTGATTTCATATTCCACAAAAAACCGCGGAGTATGCGTTAAATAATTTATGACTTCAAATATCGAAAGAAAACTTAAAAAAAAAAACTAGAAAAATGACGAAGAGTAAGTGGCAAAAGTCAGAGTTGAGTGTAGGAAGAGATGCAGATTTGCAGAGATAATGTAAAAATACAAAAAAAGCTGAGTGAAGATTATGAAGATTTCTGTAGGAAAAATAGAAAAGTCAAATAATCTAGTCACTTCAGCAAGTTCTAAAATATTCATTTTCCAGAAAAGCGAGAAAAGCAGAAAAAAGGAGAAAGAAGGAGGAGAGTCCGAGAAAGTGGCGGAAAGAAGCAGAAAGTTACTGAATACTTAGTGGTGATTTGAGAATCAAAACTAACAAAAAAAGATTTCACAGCTAGTTTCCGAAACAGTGAATATTTGAACAGAATAAAGTTAAGAAGAAAAACTAGGATCCTTATTGCAGCTATAAACAAAATGTCCCCGAAGATAAGTTGTTGGGTAGCTTACATCTATAAAATACAGTACCAAGAAATCGACAGCCGACCGAAGAGGTCCACACGAAAGCGCGACTCAACTCATATTCAAATTGCTTGTCTTCTTCTCATCTTTGGATTTGAAAAGTAACACTCATTTCGACTTCCTTATTCTTCTCAAATCCGATCGATGATTGGAGAAGAATAATTCAGCAGTTTTGAAATCTTTCAATCCAGCTTTAAAAGAGTTATACCAAAAAGAGCTACTACTTCTAAGTAGCGCTTCCTGTTATTGCTTAGCTAGAAACAAGAAATTTCTATCGCTGCTGACAATAAACCCATGATTGTGATTAAAATCGACACATCGATATTAGTGATTTAGTGATTAGTTGATCGCGGTTAGTGATCAAAGCAAACGTATTTGGTGCCATCACATTGAACGGTATACCTTCTGGAAATGAAGAGTTCCTCAGTTGAAACCAAAACAATATGACTGTAGGTGGGCCGACGACTTCATGCTGTTTGAAAGCAGAAAATCAGTGATAAACACTACTTGCTAAGCTCATTGAAGTACTAAAAAACCAAAGAGGTGCCTACAGATGACCGTATTTTTTCAGCGTATACATCTAGTAAACTTTTTTCAAGCCATTTTGTGGTGGGGCTCATCGGCTTTCAGTGGAGACGCCATAAATGATGAAATCTCGACAGATTTTGCAAATAATGATGTAGCAAAATATACAATACGAGGCCGATAGCAAAGTGGTAGTGATGCCCGTCATCACGAGCATGGTGTTAGCTCGATTCCGCTCTAGGACAACCAAGCCTCTCATCTCTGCGGCGTCGAGAAATTGTTACCGGACTTGTCTGGAAAAAGTCACTCTCTGCAATCCAATTGAGACCGCTCCAGCTCAGCTATCTCAGGACTCCAGGAAGAACTGCTTGATCAGCATTCTATGGCATTCAAGACGAAATGAAAATTCTCAAGCACCAACTGAAGCCACACATAAAGTTGGAAGATCTTCGTGGACAATCGATGCGAGGAAACGAATCGAATTTAAGAAATGCTGCGATCCGACAGTAAACGTGAAGACGAGTCAAACAAAGGTAAAAATAAAAAATAAAGTGCACAATAAGTAGTAATAAAAGAAGAGAATGCTAGAGGAGGAACTTTCATACATCTTCCATTAGAAGCATATCGACAAGAGAAAAAACTCGAGATGCCAGTCAACTTAATTTTGCTTATCATCTGACAAAGATTTAATACTTTTCGTTGTTACTCGCTACTATTACAATTGATTTTAAAGTGACGTTTACAGTTTCATCCTAGTTCTAATTCACCTAATTACCATTGAGGGCTGTTTAGCGCGGAGGAATGAGATGACACTGATGCGCTTATAATCCCCAGTTTTATTACCAGCCGCAGCCAGCCAGACCCTACGTCATTCAGCGATTACTGGTAAAGATTTCTGGAGATTTATTTGTGTCCAGCTCTAGGAAAAGGAAGACAGATATATTCTTTTCGCCTTAAAGGAAAAACAAAAGACCCCTCATTACTTTTCTACCTCTTCTTTACTACTTATCTTATTTTCCCTCCTGTGCAGCGTAATTTTGCAATTATTGAACAAATTTAAGTAATGCAAATGATTTCCAACTAGTCATGCTACCTACACGGATTATTAGGCTTACAACCGAACAGATTACCAATAAGTAATTCCTATGACCGACCTTATATTAACCTCTGCATTGGTCGAATAATTCACTTCTCTTCTCTTCTCTTGATAAACAAATACGAGGTTATTACTTCATTCTTTATTTATAATTAACCTAACGTTTTGGTGGATTTTACCCTCCTGAGCCTGGAACGGTAAATACAGTAAATACTACAGTTACCAATAAGTGCTAAGAATTATTTTCGAAGCGCTTTTTCCCACAGCAGTATATAGTAGATTCCGACGGAGAAGAAGAATTCATTCAGAACTGCACTGCGTTCAGGACCCAGGCTTTTTTTCCTTCTTACCACCATCGGATACAGTCAGAAAAACTATATCGCCGTGCTCACTCTGAAGACAGAAACGTGCAACTTTGGGTTGGCGGAGCATACAAATTCGATTACGCAAAACTTCTCTAGGTTTCTTTTCACAACAAAATATGGTGAATTCCAGAGTAGAAGAAAAGGTCATTGGGAATTATTTGACATCAGCGTGCCGTTTCTTTCCCGTTCAACATGGTTGAATTCCATCACAAGAACTTCATTACCGTGCCCGCGCTGACGACGTACATATTATGTAAGAAACGCGTCGGCTCGTCGGAGACAATGAATGGATTCGTGACCTCACATATTCGATTACGCAAGTCTTCACAATCCTCATCAATGAACCAGACAATCGTCGTCTAGCCCCCAAAAACGCACACCTACACGTTTATACATAATGACGACGACGATGATGATGATGGTGACGACGGCGGCGGCGGGAAAGACGAAGACGATGGGAGAGAGGAAAAACTTTCGAAAATCTCAACACATGAATAAAAACGGAATGTAACTGAGTAGGTCAATGCCGTTTGTGAACACGAATTACGCGACGAAGCAAATTTGATGCGCGGAAATTCAGAAGACGTTGTGCGATCAAGGAAACAACGACGAAACCACGGAAGAGGTAGAACAGAGGCAGTTGGACAAGAGTAAATACGTACGTGATCGAATAGAAATCAATGGGACATCTTATCCTTTACTCAATTCTCCATCCTACTTTTACTAATAAGGGGTATACGACGTTCTTTCTTTAATAAAAAGATCGCCTATAGCAGATGGAAAAGCTTACAACTTCGCAGCCTCTAAGAGTCATTAATTAATCGATCA